CGACGCGGTCTGCGGGCTCTCTGCAATAGTCGTACTCGTATAAGTATAACTCTGACAACAATAATAATAATTACTATGATTCGTATAACAAGTCTTATAATGATACGAATCACAATAACACCAATAATAAGCCCGGACTTGATTCAGTGGCCTACAAGAGCCTTTCGCTTCTCACCGTGGCCCAGGCAGGAAGGCCTTGCCCAATCCCATCCCGCCTGCAAGTCGGAAAGCCAGCAATGTTCGACAGAATCACCCAGCTTCGAAGCAGAAAACAGGGTTTAGGGTTTAGGGTCTCTGGAATCTGGTTGATGGCAGAAAGCGGAGTGTTCTTGCCACGACTAGCCTGCACATGTCACACGTGTTTGACAAGTTGTAGCATGCTGCAGCCATATATCTGACGCGGCCTGCTATCACGAAGCCCAGCAGACCCAGCGCCGAGCCAGCACCTCAGCTTCTTCGGACTTCGAGACTCAAAAGAACCGATGACTGCTACCCGACAATCTAGGTGCCGGACATAGCAGGGAAGCAGCTTTCACCTGCTGCAACAGAGCAGATGGCGGAAATATGCAGGGCTTCTCCATGTACTGCTCAAGAGCTCAGGGATCAGCCCGGGTGGTTCGGACGGCGTAATCGACTCCTAAGTGGATCCGTCAGTGGATGCGAAGTCGATTCGACTTGCGAGGGCGACATTGAAGGATTGCCACGGTTAGGAGGCATCAGCGAAGATGAACTGGTAAGAGCACCAGGAGTAGGCAATGGCAATTCATCCGCCAATGGTGAAATTGACAAAAACTACGTTGTGTGGTTGCCCTCATCGAAAAGGGCGCTCCAAACCAGCACCAAAGCCGCAGAAATCCTCCACCACTACAAGTAAGGCCGGTGCTGAGCCGGATCTGTTCCACGTCCCTGAGCTGCGTCCAGAGGGCATCCTGGCTATGCGAGCCCTACTCTGCGAACAGACGCAAAAAGCCTCAATCTAAGGCTAAATCCATGGGCCCCTACATGTACCCTTAAGGGTCCCT